CTCAACTTCTATTTTAAATTGCTTTGTCTCAAGATTTCTTATTGAAAATTTTTACATCCTTTTACACCACTGAGCTCTTGTCTGGATTAAAACACACTGAAAAACTCTTCAGACAGGAACGACAGCATATTTGCATAGTTGTACAACCCAGAAATGTATCTGTCAGTGAAAACTGGTATATCACAGTGTGATGCAAGTGAATGAATCTGTATTCAGCAGCAGACTAGATGTATTTTTCCCATTTTCACAATGTTAGCAGTAGGCAAAATTTGACAAGTCTTTTTTTTTTTTAATTTTCTTTTCCTTTCCACACCCCCCCTCCCCCCCCATCATCTTATGACTATGTTTTTTGGTGTTTTTTTTGGTTGTTGTTTTGGTTTGGTTTTTTTTCCTTAAGTGAAAATTTGTATTCTGGACTTTTTAAGTACCTGTAAGGGAGCTGACTATATTTATCAGGATTCTGATTCACACAAAAATTTCCTGCTTATGTTGTATGACTATAAGCAAGTGCATATCCTGCTGTTCATTTAAAGCTATTGTCTTTGTATGGTTGTACTGGTATATATGTACCTATATCAGTATATTGTTATTAATTTACTGTGGTTCTGATTGTGTGATTGCACAAAGCTGTTTAGTGAGGGCATGATCTTTCACAGAAGAAATGTGCTTTTACTCTGCTAATTTTCAACTAACTGTTTTGAATGAGATTATTTCAGTGTTCTACTCCTTGCTACAGTCATAATATGATTTTCTGATGTTTTCAGCAGAACAGGGTTTGAATTGAAAATTTATTTACATATGAGTAAAAGGAATTAGGTCTAATAAAGACTTGTAAATTTAAAATTTTGACATTACTTTGGTTATGAACAATGCAGCTGGCTATTTGGGGAAGAGAATAGCCAAGAAAGAAGCACTGAAGTCAGTCCTCTTTTGGGAAACACATCCATCTGCTTCTACAATTAATTATATTGCAAAGCCATTTGTGATTAATTATTAAGGCATTAATTATTAAGGGTGCTAAAAATCTTAATACAGTTTGCTAGTGAAATGCTGAACATATTTCAGTGGCGTCAGACATTCAGGCTTAAGATCACTGTACTACAATTACTGTGGGAGTAATAACAGAATATTCTTTCTTATTCTTATTTTGGAATTCATGAATATTTGCCTGCAGTATATTGTATCTCATGATTGCAAAGCCCAGATGAAGAGAGAGAATCAGGGCTTTAACCTGCCAGATCTTGAAAAACCTCCAGAGATGACAACACCACCTCTCTGGGCAACCATTTCCAATGCTTATACTCAAAATATAACACTTGTAGATATTGCAAGGCTACTTTCAGGTCCCCCTTGAAGCCGTCTCTTCTCTAGGCTGAACAAGCCCACTTTCCTCTGCCTCTTCTTACAGGGCAAGTGCGCCAGCACCCCTGCCCTCTTGGTGTCCCCCTGCTGAGCTCATTCAAGTTCATCAAGTCTGTCTTGTACTGCAGGGCTTAAAACTGGATACAATACTCTAGGCGAAGTCTAACAAATGCTGAGTAGAAGGCGACACTATCTTCCCTTGATCTACTTACCGGCTATGTTCATGTTAATACAGCCCAGGATGCTGTTTGCCACCTTTATTGCCAGGTCACAGTCCTGGATCCTGTTAAGCTTGCTGTCCAACAAGATCCTCAAGTCTTTTTCAGCAGAGCTGCTCCCCAGGGAGTTTGTCCCTGCCTGGTAGGGCTGCAAGGGGTTCTTTCTTCCCAGGTACAGGATTTTGCTTTTGTCTTCTGTTGGATTTCCTAAGGTTCTTGTCTGCCTGTTCATCTAGTCTGTCTAGGTCCCTTTGGATAGCAGCCCTGCCCTTGAGCATATTGACTGGTCTCCCAGCTTGGTGTAATTTACAGGCCTTGTGAGCAGGCACTCTTGTCACCTCTTTCAGGTCACTGATAAAGATATTAAACAGGACAGGTCCCAGTATGGACCCCAGGGTACTCTTGTTACTGGCTTCCAGGTAGAGCACAACCTATTAACCACTACACTCTAAGCTTGATCATAGAACTACTTTTTTACCTTGCTAGTTGTCTACCTATCCAGACCATAATGTCTTAACTTGGATACAGAAATATGGGAGACAGTGTCCAAAGCCTTGCTAAAGTTGAGGTAAATGACACCCACTGTTCTTTCTTCATCTACAGATCTAGTCATTTTATCACAGAAGGTAATTCGGTTGGTCAGGCATGATTTACTGTTTGAAAATCCCCCCTGACTGTTCCCAATTACCTTCTCCTTCATGTGATCAAGTATGTTGTTCAAGAAGACTTCACCATAATGTTCCCAGGGAACAACATGAGGCTGTCAAGCCTGTAGTTCCCTGGTTTGTTCTTTTGGCCTCTTCTTGACAATGAGTGCAACATTTGCCTTCCTCTAGTTGTCAGGGATGTCCCCCATTTTCCATGATTTTTTGAAGATGCTAGAGAGTGGGCTTGCAAGGACATCAGCCAGTTGTCTTGACACCCTTGGATGCAGCCTGTTGAGTCCCGTAGGTTTGTATGGGTTGAGTTCTCACAAGTAAGCCCTGACTGAGTACTAACTATTGATAGTCCTCTTGCTTGAACCCTTTCATAAAGCACAGAGGCCTGAGAGACCTTGTCGTTGAAGACTAAGGCAAATACTTGTATCCTACATAGTTCAGATTAACTTGAATTTAAGCTCAATTGCTCTGACTTTATGAGGACAGTGTGGATATATTATTTCTATGCAGACCTTCTAATCGGCTCAATCTGTGCTATGATTTATCAAATGAACTATTATGTGACAGCTTACTTTTCTAGGCAAACTGTCTCTGTATCCTAAATACTTTCATTAATGGAGATATATGGGAAAGCTCTTTGTGTGGTTCATTGAGCGTGTTCATGTGACATTATTTTGCAGAGAAGCTGTGAAGTTCTAATGCTAATTTTGGTGGGACTCTTTCATACTGCACAGGTAGAATCCTCTCATACAGCTCTTATAGTGTGAATTATTGTTTTTGACTCACTAATAATGGAAAAGATGTCGTCCAATAAGTTTTTATTTACCTTACAAAAGAATAGCGTTATTAAGTACAGTAAATATGATTCTTTGGGATGTGTTGTCCCACACAGGAATAGGATTGGCTGAGAATAAGTGTTCTTTATTTCTGTAGTTGAAGGCATAAAGGATATTCAGGATATTCTGCTCAGGGACTCTAGTCAGAAGTATCTGTATGCACTCCAGCATGTTTGGTGAAAGAGCATCATCTTCTGAGAGAAAAATCTCGAAGTACCACAGTTACTGTAAATTAAGTCATGTTATCACTTTATTTTTAAGTAGAATTTCTCTGGGAGTGAAAATTATGAGGAAAATACAAACTTTGATTTCATATTATGAGTACTTATCCTGTCAGATCTTGGAAAAACTCCAGGATTTCAGACTATGAATATTTTTATTTGTTTATGAACAGCTTTTTGTAGAGCAAAGTAAATAGTTAAAATCTTTCCCATTCAAAAACCTCTATTAATTTAACTTACGTAAGAAATAAGAAAATAATAAAAGAAAATTTCTCTCAGCCTGAGACTTATTATAGCATGCCATCTAAATGACATTGTTTAGTCCTTATATAGCTTTGATTCCATACAGATTTGTAACAGTGGTTGCTAAAACTCAATCTGAGTTTCATTTTTATTTTAGTACCAAAAGTTCAGATGCTTTTTGGAACTTTGTCCTAACTATCCGGTGTCTTAAATTGCTAGATTTGCCTAGCTGTATTATGAAAGAAGGTGTTACAGGAGTTCTGGTTTTGCTTGCTTTTAGGCAGCCTAGTACTGGTGTACTCTTAGAACTCAAGAAAATAAAACTAATTTTGAAGAAGAACTGGAAACAAAGTTGTAGTTGAGCAGAGAGATTCAAGCTTAGCTTATCCTGGTTAAAGGATCAATTAAATTTGTATTTTTTCCCCCAAATTATCTTTCTAGGTTAATATCCTGATCTTACTGAATCAGAGTTGGGATTTTTTTTCCACTGACCTCTGTGGAACAAGAACTTCACCCTGATCTCTGATTTTTGATGGGTGGTTGCTCCTTCACGTTCTTGAACTGATTGTCTGGCCATCTGAATCACGATGTTCTCAATTTCTTAATAAATGTCTGCAAACAGGGCCTAAAGCAGATTTCCTAATAAGTCATTTTGCAATGCACTTTTAAACAGAAAATTATGTGAGAAGTTTGTGTAATCACTTTTTTAAACTTTGACTCTCACTGAAGAGATTTAGTCAATTTTCAAATGACTGGCAACAACAAAAAATCAGTGGATGTTTTCAGTGCTGTACTGGCACAAGTGGCAGCCATTGGCTGTGATGTAGAAATTTTTTAGTGGTTGTGGTTTTGTTTATTTTGGGGCTCATAATAAAAAGTGCTAAATCCCTTCTTAGCGATGTGGCTGCATTAGTGGAGGAAAAGGATATGAGGAGACAACCTTTCTTCTTCTTGACAGCAGGCAGAACTCTATGGAAATAGGGAAACTCAGCCTCAAGCTGAGTCACATAATGACGTGGCCTGTCATCCTGCAGTGATGATGTACTGGCCTCCCTGTGCTAAACTTTGTATTTAACAGCTTGGAAGAATAGCCAGGTCTAGATGGTTAGCAAAGCAAACAAGGTATGTTATCATGTACATGTGGAAAATTGGGCATCTTCCATTCTCCCTTCATCCCTAACTGTGTAGGAATGAAGACAGAGTTTTGACCAGAATGTATTCTCCACAAACTACGCAACAGAACATACCATGGCATGTTTTTTTTTGTGGTGGTGAAAGAGGTCTAAATTCTGCACTACTTTAAGCCAAAATCAATAGAATTACTCTTGGTTTATGGCAATATGTCCAATCTGTATTTGTACCATCTATTTTTGCTCTTATTTGATGTTCATGCAAGTACAGATATACTTCTGTTATGCTTTAATATAAGTTTTGTATAATTTTCAATACTCTTTTACTTAGGATACAAAAATAGCTTCACTTGAGCGCAATATAAGAGATCTTGAAGATGAAATACAGATGTTAAAGACAAATGGAGTTCTGAATACAGAGGACCGAGAAGAAGAAATCAAACAAATAGAAGTTTACAAGAGTCACTCAAAGTTCATGAAAAATAAGGTAAGGTTTATTAATAAAATAGCTTAATGCTGTTTAAATAATGGAAACAAAAGTTTTAACTTGACCCTTTTCAACACAAGCAGCTCTCAGCATGTCATCTTTTGGTAAATCTCTACTATGCAATACTCGGTAGCTATGGAGGAGTGAAGCATTTTGGATAAATAAAAATGTGTTCATGTTTTGACTTAGGAAGAGCTAAGGAAGAGGCTATTTCAACACTTTTGCAGACACTACTACAACCCTGAGTCTATACCATGTTCCCTTTTCCCTTTCTTGTGTATGGTGTTTTAATGTTGGCTTTCTGAATTAGTTCATAATTTTGACTTGCACCATTTTGGCACAACTTTAATTGTTCGGTTTTTTTTCTGGTTTTGATGGTAGTTTTACAGTAAGGACTGTTGTTCCATAGATGATGCCAAATTGTAATCTTCTAGTATTTTAAAGACTTGCAATTTGATGACTTTGTTCCTGCAGAGTACCTTTCATTTCAAATTATTGTACATAGAGAATTATGAGTTGACCACAAGCAGATAGTAAATGTGTAGTGATGTAACACATTTCCTGGTATCAAGCTCACAAAACAGTATTGCTTGTTCATTGTTTTAAAATACATCAGATGTAAAGCGTCTAAATTGTTGTCCCAGATGGCCTTTTTACCTCCTTTTGTTTTGATGTGCTCAGCTACTGTCTAGTTAAAGATGAGCACTCCAAATAGTCTTTCTTGTGAGTTCTAATATTACTTTTCTGATATTTTTATAATTGCCTTAAAAATTGTAATAAATATATATAACATTACAATTTGTGCTGGTTTATTCCCAGCTCTCTACCTTAAATGTGTTTTGTTTATGAAGTGATAAAATGCTGAATTAAAGTACTCGATAAAAAGAAAAAAAAAGTTTGAAATTATGGAGACTGAAGCTGATGCTCCCTTTCTCATATAAATAAATTCAGGTTTTGGAAATAGCTTTTTTTTTTTAATATTATTTACAAGCTAAACTAAGATGGGGCGAAACAAGTCACAGCAGCCTGAAGTGGAAAACCTGGAGGAAAGGCAGCCATCTCATCTCTTGCAGTGGTGTTAAAAATTTGATCATAATGCCAGAATAAAATCTAGGCAAACAACTTTAGTAGTCATGATTATTATGAAATCTTACTTTATTTTAAAAGTCTTTCCATCCTAGTTAGTTGTTTGTTCTTATTCTGTTTAATGTTTAGGGTTTTTTGTGTATTTTGTGGAACTTGTGTATGTGAAGTTCTAAGGAACTGAGATGGATTGATTCACTTTTTCTGAAATGTGTACTTGCAGCTCTGAAAAAAACTGCTTGAGGAGGAGCCGGTACTATTACCTCTCCAGAGGCCACGAGAACAAAAAAAGTAGGAGTTAATTGGCTTGAAGCATAGTTCTCTGCCTACCATTGTGTGTCGATGATAAAAATACTTAGCAATGTTGTTGTTTAAGTGCAAAGTTTGCAATATTGGGTAGATAAATACCATTACCACTCTCTTCAGAGTTGGGCAAGCTAAGATTCAGAGAAAGTATGCAGCTTGTCTATGGTCAGAGAATGAAACGGTGTCAGCACCTTCTGGAGAATCAGAGTTCTCTGATTTTCTGTTTTCTTGTGTAAATTAGACCTTCATTGTCTTCTTGACAAGATGCTTTTACTTTGTCTGAATTCCACAGTGAGTATAGGAGTAAGAAAATTCACCACTGTGTAGTATTGGATCCTGAAGATTTTCCATCAGAAGAGCTGTTACTGTCTCCCAGTTTGGAAACTGTAGTATCTTGTAAACTACATCACAGGAAATGCTGGTGTCTTGGGACACTGGGGAATATTTTTATCTTCTCCTGGGGGTTTGTGCTACAGAAGAAATGGAAGTGTTATTGTCCATGTGGAATTAATTCAGATTTAGTAAAAAAAAAATTTAAAAAAATCAAAGAATATATCTATTCTGTTGAAAAAAGTAGCTCTTAAGCTACTGAAAGGTGACTAAAGTTCCTAAGTAGCATTATGATCAGGAAAATTATTCTGGCTATTTAAACATCATTAATTTCAAAGCAATTCAGTTTTACTAATTTACAGCAAAACTCTTAATGCATTTCAGCAAATCTGTTGATATAAAAATAATTTACAAAGCCTAGTATTTTGTTAACAAACTTCTGATGTTTTTGAGAGGAAAAGCTTCAGTATCTTTCTGTGGCACAGAAAGCAGACAAATGAGAAGACTATTAAATGTACCTTGTTTTGCCACAATCTTCTGATCTTTGACAAATGCCACATTCTGATGAAACTTTGTCTGTTTTCTTTCACCAGTTCTTTTCTTCCACTTAAAATTGAGATTTGCAGCAGAAGATATTATTTTTATCATTCATCTGAGAATTTTCAAGGTGGAAAAGTATTTATGTAGCTGTCAGCAAACAGATATTATTATACCTGATCTGTTGAACCTGAGATTGTTGATAAATTCTGATAAACAGAAGTCTTGATTGATGGCAAAGAGCAGAACAAAACTCTTCTCACAGTTAACATCTTAGGTGCTATATAGCTCTTAATACTTCACATTTATTCTTGAAATATAACTTGTTTTAAATCTGTTCTTGATTGAAATAAATGTGAAGGTACTAAATGGAGGCCAGTGCTGAATATTATTTATTGTACATGTGTGGCAGAGAATGTTGGGAAGTGTTCCTTGTCTTAACAAATTCTTAGTAATATTCACTCCTTCCAAATATATAGGCTTTAATTTTGACTTGCAGTTAAATAGAAGTTGTAGAAATGAGTAAGAAAACTTGCTTAGATTTTTTTTTCTTGCCCACTTGATGAGGAATCTCCTTGCTCTGTTTTTGAAGGGACAAAAATTGCCATCACTCATATAGAAATTGTCGAAACGAGTCTTAAAGTTTTCATGACTAAGGGATATGAAACTTCAAATATCTTCATTAAAGATATGAAGAAAACATATAGGATGGTATGCATTTTTAAAAATAATTTCTGCTTTGCAAGACTTCCTTCTCTTACTAGGGTTCATCCTTTGGCTAGCAGCCAGATATTTAAAGAAACAGGTGTGAGTTTGCACTCTGGAACTCAAGTAGTTCTCTGAGTATTAGAACTCTCATGCTATCGACAGGAATGAGTATGAAAATCTAGTGATAGTTTAGTACAACTTCAGCAAATTACTGTAAAGATGAGTTTTAAGAATTGATTAGGCTGTAACAAGGCGCTCTGTAATTAATGTCGGTATATAAGAACTTTGAAGTATGAAAGAAGCATGCAAGTCCTAGGTCATCCTGTAGAAGAAATATACAGGAAAAGAACTACAGCATGTTTTTGTGGATAGGTCTGGAAATATGATAAACACTTAAAAAATAGACCTTGACCAATAATAACCTGTAGAATCTACAGATAGGCTTGTAGAGTCTACTGTATACAGCCACTTAATTTGCATTGCTACTGTTCTTCCTTTACTTAAATCCTTCACTTTAAAAAGCATTTGTCATTTGTCACATAAGACCAGATCCTTATGATGCATAAATCAGCATAGTTTCATGTAATGGAATTATTTACTTAAAGATTTAGCCCATTAATTTAAATATGCAATATCCAGGGGAAAAGCTCTGACTTTGTTTTATTTTGTTTTCCTTGTTTTCCCAGTTACTCTGTGTAATGTCGTGTGAGATTCTGGTGTATAAAAATAATGTAAGAAAAAGGATAATGGTTTTCTGGAAATGCTAGTATCTAAGGAACTGAAATTATGGAAGGTGCAGCATCAGAAATTGAGAAGGAAGACAAAGAAACTAGGGTTTCAGGAAAGGAGGTGTGAAGCAAGATATTGGGCAATGTTGAAAAAGCAGTGACAGGTAAATTACACATATGAAATATGTGGGAAGGTCAGGATCAGAGGACAAACTTGGAGTTCTTTAGATGCAACAGCACTTATACCCAGACATGTAGGTTATCTTCATTGTAGTCTTTATAAAGTACAAAAGTGTTTTTTGCCTTCATTGTTTTTGTACTGAGATCGGGAGATCTCCTTGAATCATAACTGTTGGTATTTCATACCACTTAAGATATAGCAAAGTGAAAATGTTTGCACATCTGCTAGAGGCAGAAATTTGTTTCATGCTCTGTTTAATTTTTTTTACACACTAATAGATAATGCAGAATTTTGAAAAAGCAAATATACCGAGGTCTAAAAATTTCTTTTAAAAAGTTATGTGGTTTCTCGTTATGCCTTTGGTATTTTTGATACTTATTTTTTTTAAATTGAAGTTTTAGTACATTTTCACCATTATACTTTATTTTAATAAAACACCAGCCAAAAGCGTAATTATTTGACACTTTTTTTTTTTTTTTTGAGAGCTCTAACACATTTTTAAACTCCTGGCAATTTTTAGGTCTTGTAGCCAGAACTTCATACTAAACAGATTCTGTTTCAAAAACACAAAGAACATACCTCCCATGAAAATGAAGCTTTTTTGTTGATTATTTCTCAGGGTGTGGGTTGTGTCATGGAAAAAAGCGGGAAGAATTTCTACAGGAGATTAAGCATCTGTGATGTTCACATGGGTCTCATAAAGCATGTGATGTAATTCAGATTGGCTGCAGATCTACGTTTTGTATCTTGTAGACAGATTTTCCCATTGTTCATTTTGTATACATTTTTGTCTTGGTTGCCATACTTGCTTACATATTCTGGCAAGGGGTGGAGGAAGGTGGTTTGCTTTCAAGAGAAAATTTTCTCTAGCAGTTTAACTGCACTCTTACATTTTCTTGAAATCTGTTTTTTTTGTATGCTCCTTTTCTTATTTTGGTATTTTCAGACTGTGAAGGTGATTGCTTTTAGTGCCCATATAGATTCTTGATTTTATACAGTAGCTCAGGGGTGGCTAGTCAAGTACCTTAACGAGGTAGACAAACATACTGATATTTATAAAGAGAAATTAGGAATAAATATGTTAAGATGTGCATATGGACTATAGTTGGAAGAAACATCTTTTAAATTTAATTTTTAAGAATATACTTGCAATGTAAAACAAAATAGAAATATTTTGATCAGCAGTAAATGTTTTCAGTGACTGTGCCATATAATATTGAATCTGTGAAATATTTTAGTATGTGCATCTTTAGGATTTGGTTGAGTAGGGTCAGCCTCTGGATACATATTCTTTTTTTCCTGGGGATTTTTGTATCACCTTCCATCTAGCCCTTCTAGATTTTTTGTATCCCAAATGTCTGTTGGGATGCAGCTGATGGGAGAGAATGGAAAGAGCTCTTCTAGTACTTCTCCGGTTGTTGCAGGATTGAAACTTGAATTTTACAGAAAAAATCTAGGCCTTACAGTCATCAAAAAAATTTCCAAATGTAAAGGAAGTGTGGTTTCTCTGAGTTATGCAGATGCACTGAGGCATTTTATTTCAAATAATCCTCATGAGATGATGTATCTGAACTCATCTGGTGACCACTGTTATTTCACAGGACGTTAAGAAGAATAGTTATGTCACCTAATTCACCATCCTTTAGCATCATTCTGTGTATTGTCCAGTGCTTTGTTCAGCTTCATATATTCTAAATCCACCACACTTTTGCATTCTGTGGCTACCCCTCCCATTTATCATTGTGGAAAGGGAAGAATAATCACAATTCCATGACATTTACTGACGAACCTTAAATTCACTTAAATTCAGAAGCTCTGTCTTAGTGACTGGGTTTCTAGTGTTTCCCCTAGGATACGCTTTTACAATCTCGCAGACCTTTCACTCTGTGGAATTTTTTATAACATTTTCCCCAGACTTCTCTTAAGTTAATCTCTTTGGCTTGGCTTTCCTAGTACCTGAGAATTCCATACGAACTGCCAGGGAGGAAAAAAGGAGGTGGGGATGGTGGGCAGCAATACATTTACAAGAAGGCGGGCAGCAACACATTTACAAGGTTAAAATTCCACTTCTCTGTTTTTCTCTCCTTACTAAGATGCCTGCTTTTCCTTATCAGTCTCCTAAAAAACCTTGATTTGCTCTGGCCAATGATAAATCACAAGAATCATGCTGTTGGAAGGAATAGGCTATTGGATTGAGTTTATACTTTTATGAACACTTTTTTTCCTATGCATTTTTGCTGTCCTGCCAGACTTGCCTCACACAGGATAAATTCCTTTGAACTTAAGTGAGGTCCATGGTGAATTTATAGGCCAAATCATCATGTATAATCTTTAAGAGTTTCCTTTTAACTTCTGCAACAGCAGGGCAATCATTCTTAAGACAGGGTACATTAAATTACAAGAAACTCAACTGAAGTTGTGCGTGTAAAAAGTCTGAATCTTCATTCTCTTCCAGAATTTACAGGTGTCTGAGTTGTCATATCATGGTCATTCACACTTTTTGGATTTCAAGTGCAACTTTGAATTGGAAATGAAATTAATGATCTAACCTTTTTTTCCCCCATTACAGATTGACCAACTGAAACAAGAACTCTCAAAGAAAGAATCAGAACTTCTTGCCTTACAAACTAAGCTTGAAACCCTTAGCAATCAGAATTCAGATTGCAAGCAACACATTGAAGTGCTTAAAGAGTCACTTACTGCCAAAGAACAGAGAGCTGCCATACTTCAGACAGAGGTATTGTATGTTCTAATCATAAAATGCAATAGAAATATTTAGTTAATAGCATGTGTCAATGTGATGATGTGTTTGTTGCGAGTCTGTGTAAAAGGCAATTTGTTAAAGAATAGTGAAATAATTTAAAACCCTTTAAATGCCAATATATTTGGTATATATTTTTTGGTAGTACACCAGCTCTCATTCTAGAATTTTTTTAGAAGCACCTGTGATTGCATTTTAAGAAAATGTTTGTGCCTAATTCTCATTGGCTTCAATGCATTGAGCTGGGCCTTAATGACTTGATTGTTGTGATTTCATTCCTTGTTTCGTCATCTGTTAGTTGACTGAGTTTTCCTTTTGGTTGCTCTGGCTTGATGCTTCTTTTCTACTGTGTATTTCTATTCTCAATAGTGAAGCTACTGATGTATGTTGAAGGGATCTGTTGAAGGATGCATGATATTAATCTGTGATTATTGTTTTGAGTGCAATCAATTTTATTTTAAAATATGAATAATTTCAGTCTTTAAAACAGGCCAGTGCATTAGTTATGTATGTATCTACAAAGTCAGATCATAAAAATATGGGTAATGGAATATACGGTTGAGATGGTTGTCACATTTCATGGAATGTGTAAATCCAGTGTTAAAAATGTTGTCCATAAGTTCATTTCCTGGGGTTTTAAAAAACTTCATAGACTTGGAGCACACAATACTGATTAGATTGATTCCTATTATAAGTTATTCATTTTATTTTAATGTGTGTACCCCTTTCAAGACACAGAAATACCTGTGAAATTCAGTCATGCAGTGCAAATAGTTTCTATTCAGAGAAGTATATTATTTAAGGTATACGGGAATCTTACAGAATGTTTCAAATTTCTGGCAAACAAAGCTCTAGGAGAAAAAACAGCTTAAACTTATCAGTCTTATGGAAGCAGGAAATAAATACTCCTAAGATTCTGATTATCCCTCTGTGCTGTGTGTCTTATCCTCTGTACATTAAGAAGATACAGATGAAATCTTGGAATTACCAGCTTGTGTTTAATGGGCTAGCCAGCATATGTATATAATACAAAATAATCACAATAGAACAAGGGCAAAAACTCCAGCAATGTTGGCAGATCTCAATCTAGCTTTTGAGTAGTAAAGATTACATATTTTAAATCTTTAGCTGTGCAAATCTGTTTTGCAAGGTTTGTATTACCTCTCATTCTGATGAGGATGGTGATGAATTCCATTGGCTCTCCGCTAATTTGATTTCCTAATTCTTTATCAGACTGGTATGTATTCAAGGCATTACAGTCTTATGGCTGGCAGTTGGGCAGTGGTAAAAAGAACTGAATCTACAGTGCTATTGATGAAGGGCTGCTGGGATTGTGCAGTCCTGGTGGAGAACCAGTTGGTTTCTGACAGGTATTCAATTCCTCTTCTTCCCAGTTTCTGCATAAGGCAGTTGAGCTTGAAGCTTTTACATGAAGCAATTTAAGTTAAAATGAGCTGTAATTGCCTGTTAGTGTGCAGGTGACAATCGGTTTTATTGTGTCTGCTTATTGTTAGTCTCTTAGGGAAACCAAATGAAAAATTAATGTTAAAATTATCAGAGAGGTAGCTTGATAGAAGGAATGCTTTATAATAGCAGAGAATGAATCCCTTTTGTTTGGCCTAATATCATGTTATTTGTGATATAAGTGACTGTGATATTTCATACAAATCATGAGATTCTTCCAGCTTTCAATGAAAAAAATATAAATCTGTTTAGGTATGTGTTCCGTATAATTTCTGTTCAGTGGAGGACATCAGTTCCTGGTTTTGATTATTTATTTTAATTAACCCTTTACTTCTGTATAATCCAAAGCATTCTAATGACAAGCTTTGGTTTGTTTCTGAATGAAATAACACTGTAAGCTATGTGAGTCATTGCAGATATGAGACTTAAAAATGAAACAAAACAACTCATAAATGTTCTTATGGTATACATTGGTGCTAGACACTTAAGGCTGTCTCTGCATGGACTTGATAAATCAATTGAGCCTGAATTTGTTTGTGACTAAATCTTCAGAAACTGTGGGGTTTATTTCGTATGCATTATTGCCTTCAGTAATTACATTACCTCATGAATAGGTGAAGCTCTGAAACAGTGCACACTATTTTATATTCTCCGTAGGAATCTAGGTGATTTCCATTTTCTGCTTTGAGTAGGGTATAGGTAATGATTTTATCAGACAACAGTTTTTCGAGTTTCTTTTCTCTTTTTAAGATATCTTTGTAAAGGGAATTGGGGAAAGTTGGTGAATTATGCCCACCTCTTATGGGAAGTAATTTTAGTTTGCTGTAATTGTCTGTTCATGTATAGGAGGCTTTTGGCAGAAGGGTCACATTAATGTAACTATTTTTTTTTCTTTTTTTTTTTTTTTCCTGGGAGATCATACAAAAATGAAGGCCTCTGAGTATTGGGTTAATACCAGACTTCATTCCGGGGTATGGTACATCTCAAGATGCACTAGAAGCAACATAAAGAAAACAAGTTCCAATTCCAGTTATACATGTGTATTGATGCAGCCACCGTTTGAAATGGTTTATGAAATAGTTTTGTTCTAATAGCAGATTTAAATTGGGAAATAACTTCACTTGCCTCAGAATCTTTTTTATTTACTTTTGAAAAGATAGCATTACAGGGTGTGTTTTTACATGCACCATTTACCCATGAGGCAGAGACTTTAAATAACCTGTGTTAAACTTTAAATTATGTCAGCAATGTACCTGATCTTGAAATACTTTAATAACATGCATACTTTGAGCAATATTAATTACATCTTATTTTTTTGTCCATTTAAGATGCACTGAATGTTTTATTGCTTTCCTGTACTTGATGGTGGAGATGTAGCGCATCTCAAATCTGCTGAAAAAGATCCTTCACGTTATGTAGGTAGAAATAAAGCACACTGTGCATCCATTAGTTTCTCAAGTCAGGACTTATCAGGAAAGAACTGTACTTTTTGTTATTTTAAAGCCTCAAGGCTATTGTAGGTGTGTCACAGGCTGTACAACTTCCCATGTAGAAGATTAGTTATTCAGGGGTTGGAAATGAAGAGCGGTTTCTGGAGTTAAATAATATTGAGGCTCGCAAAAGATATGTGGTTAGTCTGAACATACTTTTCACCTCTTTTGAATAGACTTTGAATCAAGAGCTCCTTAAAACTACTGACCTATTCCAGTCTTGTTTCCTGGAATAGAGTCTTATAGTAGGTTTCAGCTAGCCATAAGAAATATGCTCATATAACCAAACACAGGATTTGTCATAAATTGCTGTATAACTATGTGAGAATGTTACCTTGCTTTCTCTAACAATCATGAAAACAAGTGACAGAGCTCTGTGTCCAAGCAGTTTCACAGATTAGAAAATAAGATTCTTCAAGGCTGACCTGCATGTTCTAATGATGTTCTATTGTTGCATATTTTTAAGACCCTCAGGGTTTTGGCACATTCCTTACCACCCTGCTGTATGCTAGGGCGTTTTTCTGGTTAAAAATGATTGCCAGGATATCTTTTCTCCACAAACTATTATGTTACAACTTCCAGACTGGGTGTGCAGTTTATTGCAGAGAGACTCTGTTAAACTGTGGGCGTTCTGGAGAAATGTGCTGGAGCTCCAAGGAACACAAAAGCTGGACAGCGGCTGAATTTGTAGATTGCTACATCTACTCCCGTAGGCCAAAGTCCTTGTTTCTTATCAATATTTAGACAAAACCCAGAAAGAACACATCCTTAAAATAAGCCACAAGAAGACACCTCTGTAAAAATTAATTACTAAAGCTATAGACCACTCATTGGACGCTATAAGTTTGAGGGTTGTTAGAGCTGATCTTGTTCCTAATGTTAATCAGTTACGAGATGGTTGAAAGCAGGCTGTTTGTGCTGCTTGCACTTTTTCTTATTCAGGATTGAAATGCCTTCTTTTTTCTCTTATTTCTTTTGCCTGCTTATTTGCCCTTCATATATTTTGACTAACTAGGGGGCCAATATGTGGCAATAAGAATTAAGTAAATTTTTTGTTTGTTTCATTGTATGCTTCATTATACATTTCAGTTAACGACTTCATGCCTTCAGGCTGCATTCTCCTGTTACATCCTGTACAAACTAAATGTGATGCAGCAAGACAGGAAAATTCAAAATGATGCCTTAGAATAAAATATTCCTGAACTCCCTCTATACCAACTCTTAGTTTTATGGGGAGCCTTTTTGGTAATCACTTCACAAATATCAACTTCATATAACTCAACAACGTCTGTCTTCAGTAGTCAGAAGTATCCTGTCTTTCAAAAGGACCTTTTACATTTCCACTTAATCTTTAGTTTGGACAACTCTGTGGGAGTAGAGGGAATGTTTCTCTCATATGAATCTTTGCTGAAAATGTTACATTTGGTTATATATGAGAGACTAAATGTGGGCTGATTCCAAGTATCAGCAGAGGCCATTGATGTTTTGTTTCTGGTATATATATTAAGCTGTGCTAAATTAAATAACAAAACAAAAACCCCAAAGCTCCTCTAATGAAGCTCATACATTTCCTGCAGAAAATACAATCCTTGCAATGAGACACCCGTGATAGGATAGCAGAACTTTCTGTGCGTTAGAACCAGGATCCTTCTTGCCACAGACCTGAAAATGAGCAAGTGTCATTTACACGGTGATCAAACGTGTGGCCTGCCAGTGTACGTGGATGAGGAATAAAAATACTGCTTTGCCAGCTGGGCTCTCTCTGAGACTTGAGTTTTGAGCTGACTAAGCTAAGGCCTAGACTGTGCTGTGGTAGCAATCCAGCAATGATTCTAGACATAGCAGGTTTTGTTCTCCACAACTGGGAATTGGGAAAAGATTTTGTTTGCTTAGAGCAACTGTATCTTCTATCTCCAGGTCTCAGGTCTTACCTAAAGGGAGAGCAATGGCTTCCAGCAGCAGATGGGAAAGCAGCTGCAGAGAGATGCAGGGCAAATGGCAGCCCTCCAGCAGGTGGAAATC